CGAAAATTCATATTTTCTAAAGAAAACTTGTTCGGAATTCGACCCATGTATGGCCTGCATAAGTCTTGCTAGCAGCAGAGCAGGTGACCAACGCCAGACAGGTGCAGTCGTCAGAGGTCTTTAGTAGAGCAGTCAAGCTGGCTGGCAACTGGTAGGCATCAGACTGAAGCAGACTGGTACTGGCAACAGTGGGCAGATGAGGCATGTACTGGTAGCAGACTGTAGGTCAGCAGAGAGGTAGGCAGATGCCGGTGAGGATAGGCGGAGCATCAGTGTCAGGCAGGCCAGGTCATAGGTCATACATAGGCAGGACGAATCAGGAACAGGGGCACAGGCAGGAGCATGGTCAAGGACAAGCTGGGTCTGAAACTGATCAGAGAAGCAGGAGCCAAAGGAGCAGACAGAAGCAGAGTCCAGAAGACAAGCTGAGGTCAGTACAGGCAGAGTTCAGAGAGTTGTCAGGACAAGCTAGGTCAGCAACTGGATTCAGGATACAGGATACACAGGAGGCTGAAGACAAAACAGGACCAATCCTGAGAGCTAGCCCAGTTTTAATAACTTGTTTGGAACCAGCATTTGTCACAAGTACGCGCAGATATGAGCACCATTGTGCGTGCGCATTTAGCATGTGACCAATTCCTGCTAGCACAAGAGGAAACATGTATTAGCCTGTACACAGAAATCCATCCAGCAGAGCTATCTTGCCTATTGGCATGTCCTTCCTACAGTAATGCTGAGAGTGTGTGCTGGGGGTGCAGGTTCAGTGGTGAGAGTGTATGTTGGGCAGAATTTCACATTTGCTCTATGTTCTGACTTGGTGTCCATGATGAAATAGCAGACGTGGTAACGCATGTGGTCAGAATAGCTGTTGCACAGCTCCAGATGCAACCAGGAAGATGTCTTTTGGCACACTGACTTATGAAGGTTGGTGCTCCCTGTGACTGTGTGTGCAGCCTTGTGCTGTCATCTGTTGATGTGTTACAAAACTAGTCTCTAAACTGTTTATACCACTATATTCACTATATTGGCAAAAGTATTGGGCCACCTGCCTTTCCACACACATGAACTTTAATGGCATCCCAGTCTTAGTCCGTAGGGTTCAATAGTTGGCCCCGCCCTTTGCAGCTATAACAGCTTCAACTCTTCTGGGAAGGTCGTCCACAAGGTTTAGGAGGGTGTCTATGGGAATGTTTGACCATTCTTCCAGAAGCGCATTTGTGAGGTCAGGCACTGATGTCGGAGGAGAAGGTCTGGCTTGCAGTCTCCTCTCTAATTCATCCCAAAGGTGTTCTATGGGTTGAGGTCAGGACTCTGTGCAGGACAGTAATGTTCCTCCACCCCAAACTTGCTCATCCATGTCTTTATGGGCCTTGCTTTGTGCACTGGTGCGCAGTCATGTTGGAACAGGAAGGAGCCATCCCCAAACTCTTCCCACAAAGTTGGGAGCATGAAATTGTCCAAAATGTCTTGGTATGCTGATGCCTTAACAGTTACCTTCACTAGAACTAGGGGGCCAAGCCCAACCCCTGTAAAACAACCCCACACCATAATCCTCCCCTTCTAAACAAACTTTACACTTGGCACAATGCAGTCAGGCAAGTACCGTTCTCCTGGCAACTGCCAAACCCAGACATGTCCATTCGGATTGCCAGACAAAGAAGCGTGATTGGTCACTCCAGAGAACACGTCTCCACTGCTCTAGAGTCCAGTGGCGGCGTCCTTTACACCACGGCATCCGACGCTTTGCATTGCACTTTGTGATGTAAGGCTTGGATGCAGCTGCTCGGCCATGGAAACCCATTCCATAAAGCTCTCTATGCACTGTTGTTGTGCTAATCTGAAGGCCACACCAAGTTTGGAGGTCTTTAGCTACTGACTCTGCTTACAGTTGGTGACTTCTGTGTGCTTCAGCATGCACTGACCCTGCTCTGTCATGTGACGTGGCCTACCACTTGGTTGCTGAGTTGCTGTTGTTCCCAGTTGCTTCCACTTTGTTATAATCCCACTAACAGTTGAATGTGGAATATTTAGTAGCTAAGAAATGGGGCAGCACAGTGGCTAAATGGTTAGCACTTCTGCCTGGCAGTACAAGGGTCGTTGGTTTGAATCCCAGCCATGGCACCTCCTGCCTGGAGTTTGCATGTTCTCCCTGTGTCTGCGTGGGTTTCCTCCAGGTACTCCAGTTTCCTCCCACACTCCAAAGACATGCTGGTAGGTTAATTGGATCCTGTCTACATTGGCCCTAATATGTGTATGTATGAATGTAAGTTAGGGACCTTTAGATTGTATGCCCCTTGAGGGGCAGGGACTGATGTGTATGTACAATATATATGTAAAGTGCTGCGTAAATTGACGGTACTATATAAGTACCTGAAATAAAAGTCCCAGATGGACTTATTGCACAGGTGGCAACCTATCACAGGACCACACTTGGAGTCACTAAACTCCTGAGAGCGACCCATTCTTTCACAAATGTTTGTAGAAGCAGCACCTTTTGTCATGGAGGTGATTGGAAGGGTGGACCTGATACTTTTGGGAAAATATATATATGTGTGTTTTTATATATATATATATATGTGTATATATATTTTATATATTTTTTTTTTTTTTTTTTTTCATATATATTTATTTTTATTATGGGTTTTTTTTTAACCATAATCACAGCATGCTCAATAATGTGTCAGTGTACTAATGTCAGGTATTTATGAACTCTCACTGGATATTAGTACCCCCCAGTGGCGGACTGACCATTCAAGCACTGCCCGAGGGCCCGGGGTCAGTAGGGAGCCCCATGAAATGCCCCTGGTACCTTTTATAGGCTTTTTTTGAGTGTGGGCAAGGACACAGGGCCCCATGATCCCCTATTGCCCGGGGGCCCCATGAGTTGTCAGTCCGCCCCTGGTACCCCCCCTAACAATACTCCAGAAAGATGGATCCATCTTTGGTCAGCCATCATCCAGGGTCACTGTTTAATTCCAGGACTGAGATGACATGTGTATGCAGCATTTACATCATCAGTGAGTGTCCAATGGTAAAAGAGGACTGTTAGGAGCCTAGAAAAAGACAGTGAAATAATGGCGGTGGATGGAGGAACAGCCAGTTGAATATACCTTAGGCAAGGGCAGCAGGACTACAATTATCTTTTAAGGTATACCGGTAATTGGAGGCAAACGTTTATTTTTTTAGTTTTGGATAGAGTGAAGAGGGATTAGAATTTTTTTTTATTGCTGTCTGTGCTCCCACTAGGGAGATTCACCCTCTCTATTTGTCCTCAAGACCATTATCACTGCAAGTGAAAGAAAATCCAAAATTTGGGTTGTCACCAGGACAGGAATAGAGGGGATAACTTTCCATCGGGGGCACAAGTTTTGGTGACAACCAGGGATTTCCTCTCACTTCCTGTTTTGGTTACAGCACAGGAAGTGAAGGGAAATCTCCCCAATGGGGACACAGATGGCAAAAACAAAAATGATCAGGGTTATAACCCTCCCTTACTTAATCCAAACTGAAAAAAAAAAAAAAACTGTTCTCATGGCATTCTTTGCCTAAACAATTCTGTAACCAGATGGGAGCCTTACATCTGTCCTTGATTTGCAATTTTATCAAAACTCTTCTTTCTTGGAGGATAGTTCTCATGTCACATCCTGTTTCCTCACATTGTTCTGAGTGTAATAAAAGGGGAAGACTTCATCAGCTAAGTCCTGGGATCTGATGGGACACACAACCACACACACACACACACCGAAAATTAAGTTCATATTAAACTCTTGTTTAACCACTTTAAAACCAGGCCATATCTGACACTTTTTTTTACATTTAAAAATCAGTACTTTTTGCTAGAAAATTACTTAGAACCCCTAAACATATATTTTTCAAGAGAATTTTTGCAAATTTTGTATGTCCCATTTGAAGTTTTTAAAACTCAATTTCTTTTGAAAAAATAAACTTTAATGAATTTTAACACACAAACCCAAAATATAATACCCAATTTTTTGGTCTGAAAAAGATAAAAAAAAAAAGTTACTCGGAGTGATTAGGTACCTAACATGCCACACTCCTAAATTACGCAAACGACGACAAACTACGGTACTTAAAAATCCCCATAGGCGAAGCTCCAAAGGCCTCTACAGGTTACCAGTTTAGGGTTACACAGGAGGTCTGGTGCTATAATTATTGCTCTCACTAGAACGTTTGTGATGACACCTCACGTGTGGTGTGATCGCTGTTTACATATGTGTGATCGACCTACCTATGCGTTGCACGGGGGGGGGGGGGGGGGGGGCGTGGGGTGCTTTAGAATTTTTTATATTTTTTTATTTTGTGAACATTATTTTTTTTAATTTATTTTAATTTTTTTAAATTTTTTTTTTAATTTTATTATTACTTTTTTGTTTTTAAACTGTCCCTTTAAATTTTGAGTGTTTTTTACTCACTTTTATTGTCATCACGCGGAATGTACATCCCTTGTGATAGCAATAGGCAGTAACAGATACTCTTTACTGAGACACCTGGGGTCTCCTCTGCCCTTAAAAGCTTCATTTCAAATACGGATCAGTTGGATCCAAAGCTTTCCGCAGCTGGTAAAAACAGCCGGTACACAAAAGACCGAAACCGTAAGTGAGAAAATACTCCTCGATTCCAAGTTTCGTAGATAGGAAACAACCCTTCCCGCCGCTTGTAAAAGCAATCCAGCAGCTTTCAGTGCAGTACAAGCTTTCGAATTTGGCTATGTAAATGTACGCAAAGCAGGCTGGAAGTGGTTAAAAAGGAAAAAATTCTATTCAGGTATGTATTCTTCTATTGCACTCAGCCTCCCCTGAATCTCCAAATTCCTTTTTTTTGCTGCTTTGATCTGACTTCCTGTTAGAGGGTGGCTACATTTATTTTTCATGGCATATGGTATGTAGCAATGTAGCCACCCTCTCTTGCTTGTAGTAATTGTCTCTGCCTCCTTCACAACATCTGTGGTCAGCCAACAGGCCTAGCTTTGGCCAGCGATGGCCCTCCCTATGGCCTGTGTTCTCATTGTTAGACCTGCTCCAAAAGCCTAGCCTCCTTTGCTCCCATTGGCCAGGGTGTCCTTTGTTCCCAGGGTTCTGGGCTTTCAATAGTACTTTCCACATGGGCTCTGTGCTATACACTATGAACCTTGATCCTGATTGTAGTTAAAGTGTTCCTAAACCCCGGACCCTGCATTCACTATATCTGGTCTCCCCGGACCCTGCATTCACTATATCTGGTCTCCCCGGACCCTGCATTCACTATATCTGGTCTCCCCGGACCCTGCATTCACTATATCCGGTCTCCCTGGACCCTGCATTCACTATATCTGGTCTCCCAGGACCCTGCGCTCACTATATCCGGTCTCCCTGGACCCTGCATTCCCTATATCCAATCCCCCGGACCCTGCATTCATTATATCTGGTCTTACCGGACCCTGAATTCACTATATCCGGTCTTACCAGACCCTGAATTCCCTATATCTGGTCTCCCACAGTACACACAATATGGAAATTTTTCTCATCAGCAGTTAGAGCAGTCTTGTGACTTCATCAGAGCATTTGGTAAAACTTGTAGGAGGAGTTTTCTTTCTGCTCTAGGAGCAGGTGAAAGTCCTGACCCTCTGTCTGGACAGTGCTAATTGGCCCTGTGCTGATCACATGCACTCTCCCTGCTCTAGCAATACACAGCAAACTGAGCATGTGCATGTGACTACGGATTCATTCTGTATCAGGTGGTCATTTCAACAAGAAGGGGCAGAGAAAAAAAAGGATCAAACTGCCTTTTTTACATAATGCGGAGGATAAACTTAGGTTGGACAGTGAGTATAACAAGCATGCTTTACTGCATATACAGACTGATTTTACTGTTGTGGGTTTAGTAACACTTTAACCTGCTTTGACATTAGGCTGTTCCTAGATTACTCTATTATCTGCTGCCTGCCCTGACCTCTGTCTGACCCTGGATTCCACTTCTTGTCTGCTGCCTGCCCTAAAACTCTTTCTGACCCTGGATTTCACTTCTTGTCTGGTGCCTGCCCCGACCTCTGTCTGACCCTGGATTCTACTTCTTGTCTACTGCCTGCTCTGACCTCTGTCTGACCCTGGATTCCACTTGTCTGTTGCCTGCCCTGACCTCTGTCTGATGTTGGATTGCACTTCTTGTCTGCTGCCTGCCCTGACCTCTGTCTCACCCTGGATTCCACTTGTTGTTTGCTGCCTGCCCTGACCTTTGCCTGACCCTTCATTACTTTTATTGTCTGCCTTCTGCCCTGACCTCTGCTTGACCAGGATTATGCTTGTCTGCCCTGACCTCTGCCTGTCTCTGAATTATGCTTATTGTCTGCCGCCTGCCCTGACCTTTGCCTTTCCGTGGATTATACTTATTGTCTACTGTCTGCCCTGACCTCTACCTGTCCCTGGATTAAGCTTTGTCTGCTCCCTGCCTGACCACCAGCTGCCTTGACCTTAGCCTGTCCCTGGATGACCTTATTCTCTGCTGCCTGCTTTGACCTCTGCCTGACCATGGACTGCACGTATCATCTGCTGCCTGCCTTGACCTCTGCCTGACCGTGGACTGCACATATCTGCTGCCTGCCTTGACCTTCTGCCTGACCATGGACTGCACGTTCATCTGCTGCCTGCCTTGACCCCTGCCTGACCATGGACTCTGCACTTATCTGCTGCCTGCCTTAACCTCTTCTGGATGATGGACTGTACTATCATCTGCTGCCTGCCTTGACCTCTGCCTGATCATGGACTGCATTATCTGCTGCTTGCTGCCTTGGCTTCTGCCTGACCATGGACTGCATGTATCATCTGCTGCCTGTCTTGACCTCTGCCTGACCATGGGCTGCAATTATCACCTGCCGCCTTGACCTCTGCTGGACCATGGACTTCACTTATCTGCTGCCTCTCTTGACCTCTGCTGGACCACAGACTGCACTTATAATCTGCTGCCTGCCTTGACCTCTGCCTGGCCATAGACTGCACATATCAACTGCTGCATACCCTGAACTCTGCCTGTCTTATTTCTATGACCTTTCTCAGTCCCTTGTGACAATTGACCACCAACTATAGCACTGTGTATTAAGCCCTGGGGGGCACGGCCATCTTAATAGTATCATGGGCCCCCTGGACAAAGTAATGCACTGGGGCCCCTACCAGCCTTCCCCAGTATATGCACCTTCTCTCATATATTTCATAGTATTTTCAATCAAATCGATTTTAAACAAGAAGATTGCCATTACAATTGTAGATTTAGCCCGGTGACAGGCTGCTGCTGTCCCAGCAACCCAGATTCTGCCCGGGACAGCTTAGTAAAAAGTGTGACTGCCCTGGCATATCCGGGACAGTTGGCAAGTATGGTGTATTGCACACATGATGGGACCGTATACACCTGGACCTCTGAGCACTGCCCATGCATTAAGATGGCCCTGCATGAGGGCAATCAAATTGGACTGGTATAGGTGAGGCTACGCCTACCAGCTGTCTCCTTTTACCTCTGGTAATGGGGTGAGCCATAGCTGAAAGGTGTCAAGGTCCTACCTTTCCTCAGGGCTTGTGCTGCTCCATGTGCTGGCATCCATCTTAGGTGTCTGCAAAGCATTGTGGAATCCTTTATGCTTTCAGCCCTCTGTGGCTCCTCCCCCAGGGAGGTGGCGGCTTATCACATATAAGTCTGCTGTTTGTAGCTGTCCATTGCATTCGTGTCCTGTCTCTTGCACAGCAGCAAGCTCCTGTTTAGCTACTCATTGCTTTCCTGGATACCGACTCGGCTTTGGCTAAGACTCCTCCTGGCTTCTGACCCCGGCTCTGGCGACCATTCTTCCTGGCTCCTGATCCCCTCTCTGGTGACGATATTCTTCCTGGCTCCTGATCCCGGCTCTGGTGACGATTCTTCCTGGCTCCTGATCCCAGCTCTGGTGACGATTCTTCCTGGCTCTTGATCCCGGCTTTGGCTATGATTTCTGCTGTTGGACTTGCATAGACTCTTGTCTTATTTTGATATTAATAAACCTACCTTTAATTGCACCTCCTTGTGTGTCTGGCTCCTCCTCGCTCCCTGACACTACATGAATGCCATGAATCCTGACGGTGCAGGTATGCCCTCGCTCCCTATGTTGGTTGCCAGACTTGATCAGCAGGATCTCTTGTTGGATCAGTTCGCTCAGGCATTGCAGACGCTGCTTGCTCGCACAGCGCACCTTACTCCTGGTGCTATTAGGCCGGTTGTCACTCCTGTGGTCGCTGCCGCTGTTGCTCCGGTTGTTGCGCCTGCGGTGCCCCAGAGGTATGACTGGTTCAGCCCCCCTTCCACAGCGCTTTGAGGGTGAGCCGAGTCAAGTGTCAGGGTTTCCTTAACCAAGTGAGCATATATTTTGAATTGATACCCCACGCTTTTCCTACAGAGAGGTCAAAAGTGGGCTTCCTAATATCGCTGCTCTCGGACAAGGCCTTGGCCTGGGCAAATCCCTTATGGGAGAATGATAACCCTGTGATTCACGAGTTTGCCGGTTTTGTTGCCTCCTTCCGTACGGTATTTGATGTGCCTGCTCGCTCCGCCTCTGCTGCTAAGCTGCTCATGTCCATGCATCAGGGTTCACGAACCGTTGCCGAGTACGCCATAGAATTTCGTACCCTGGCGGCAGAGGTGGGTTGGAACAATGAGGCTCTGGTGGCTGCTTTCTCTCATGGTCTCTCAGATGCGTTGAAGAACGAGATTGCAGCCAAAGAACTGCCTGTGGAGCTTGAAGCACTCATTTTCCTTCCTAATCCTGATTGACACCAGGCTCAGGGAGAGGCGTTCACTTAAGGAGCGCCTGCGGAGGCCTCCTAACCGATTGGCGCCTACGTTTTCTGTCCCACCCCCGTTCCTCCCTCTCCTCCCACGCCTCCTGGGGATGGCTTGTCTGGCGGTGAGCCCATGCAGCTTGGGTTTGCTCGCCTTTCGGAAGGGGAGCGGGCCTCTCAGCGTTCGGGAGGGTCGCTGCCTGTACTGTGGTCTCGGTGGGCATTTTCGGCAGTCCTGTCCGGTCCGTCCGGGAAATGCTCGCACCTGAGATCCTGTCAGTGGCAGATCTTGGGTGGAGTTTCCTCGTCCCCCGGTTTCCCGCAAAGAAAAAACACTAATCACCGTTGTCCTCTCTTGGGCGGAAGGCTCGGTGACGGCTCAGGCATTGATAGACTCTGGTGCTGGTAGGTTGTTTATGGACAGTTCATTTTCTGCCCAGTACTCCATTCCTCTGCAGGCTCAAGTTACTCCATTGGTCCTCGAGGCGATAGATGGCAGGCCCCTGCAACCGCCGCAGGTTACCCACGAAACCCTGCCGGTTGAAGTAGCTATTGGGGCTGTTCACAGGGAGTTGGCTTGTTTCCAGGTAATTTCTTCCCTGCACTACTCCATGGTTTTGGGATATCCCTGGCTTCAGAAGCACAATCCGACCTTTGATTGGCGGTCGGCCGAGATTCTCTCGTGGTCTCCACAGTGTGGGGCCGGTTGCATCCTTGGACCTGTTAAGGTGTTGTGTGCCTCCTCGGACTCTGTGTTGCCTACTGACTATGGGGAGTACCTGGACGTGTTTGACAAGGTGCCCGCCGGTGCTCTGCCTCCTCATCGTCCATACAATTGTGCCATAACCTTACAACCCGGTGCCACTCCTCCACGTGACAGGGTGTATCCTCTTTCGGTTGCGGAGAATCAGGCCATGGAGGAGTACGTTGCGGATGCGCTTTCCCGGGGGCACATTCGCAAGTCTACTTCTCCAGCAGGAGCTGGCTTTTTCTTCATGAAAAAGAAGGGCGGTGAATTGAGGCCTTGCATTGATTTTAGGGGTCTCAATCGAATCACGATTAAGAATGCTTACCCAATTCCGTTGATTACCGAGTTGTTCGACCACCTCAAGGGAGCAACGGTCTTTACTAAACTCGACCTTAGGGCTGCGTACAACCTTGTATGGATCAAGGAGGACGACGAGTGGAAGATCACGTTCAACACCAGAACTGGCCACTATGAATCCCTGGTTATGCCCTTCGGTTGAGTAACGCGCCCGCGGTCTTTCAGGAGTTCATTAATGATGTCTTTCGTGACTTGTTGCAGCAGTGCGTGGTGGTTTACTTGGACGACATCGTGGTTTACTCTACGTCTATGGAGTCTCATATCCAGGATGTTAAGCGGGTGCTGCAACGGTTACGTGAGAACGAGCTTTTCTGTAAGCTTGAGAAGTGTGAATTTCACCGATCCCAGGTTGCCTTTTTGGGCTACATCATTTCCGCTGTGGGATTTTTCATGGACCCTCAGAAGGTTTCAGCGGTTCTACAGTGGCCTCGTCCCAGTGGTCTTCAGTCCATTCAGCACTTTTTGGGATTCGCCAACTATTATCGGAGGTTTATCAGGAACTTCTCCACACTGGCCAAGCCTCTCTCAGATCTGACCAAGAAGGGCAGTAATCCCCATGAGTGGTCATCCGAGGCCATCTTAGCTTTCGAAGCTCTG